GCGCCGCTGGATGAATTTGGAAAACCGAATGCTATATTGACTCTCATTCTAACGTGTTTTCGCTACTTGACGTAAAAACCAACGGTCCAATAATTTGAGTCTACAAAGATAGTCAGCTCGGAGAGGTTAGGTTCCCAGGATCTGACAGCCTCGTTGCACACTTTGAACTCCTTCCAAACGTTTCTGACCGCCTCCTTGGAGTGATGTGAAGCTGCGTGAAAACCTCCCCATTGTTGTCGGTGCGAAGAGCGGTAAATGTCCTCGAGCTTGCGTACGCACCTATGAATTGAAAGATTCTTGAGCTATAAGAAGCAAATCATCCGACCAGTTTATGGCGCTTCGCGAACTCCCACCTACCAGGAGCCCTCAGGATTTCCCTTGGGTGTCGCTTCTAGATAGAATGCTTGGGCAAGGTCGCAATAGCAACCGCGATGCCTGTCTGTCGAGCATGGATACATTTCAGCTCCATACACCACTCTCCCTCCTAACCGTGAATTTTTTCGGTTTGGATCCATCCCCCTTCTCTGATTTGATGACAGCCGTTGAGTAATCCATACACACTGGGGGTCGTTCGGTTGTGACAGCGCATCACAACCAAACTGTCAGGCTTGCTCTGATCATCCTTGGCGCATTATTGGTGTTTGTTTTTTTCCTGTGAGCTACGTGTTTGGTACATCCGGCATTCCAGGTTGCTTAAATTCCACTTCTGAGTGCCACGATCCTCAAGCTTTGTCATCGCTAATATCTAGAAATAAACGGACGAATTGCCCTAACTTCGTAAAAATATTTTGCTCAATAGCAATTCTGAATACCCGTATATGGCCATCTATTTGGGTCATCGTCAACCTCAGCATTCTGTTGTTTATGTGATCCACACTCGTACTTATGTTTTTGTTGTCAGCGTTCACCATTTCCTCTCAATTCAAATATCTTTTGTGGCATATTCAGATGGACTTTTGGCCCATATCATTGACGTACCTCTTCTACCGGGCCGAGGCTTCCGCAACCTGCAACGTTTGGTCCTGTCCAGTAATCGGGATGCCTCGGAATTCGATGTGGGCCTCATGTTGCTGGCCGGGCAACAGTCGCTGAGTCATGTAGCCTTGCAAATTGCGCACACACGGAACTCGCTGTTTGAGTCGTTATGGTGTGCTCGAGCTGGCTTTCCACGTTTGGAAACCCTCATACTGGGTACGTTTCTCTTTCGTAATTCATATTCACTCGTGTATTTTTCAAAATTGCCTAATATCCTCTTTCTGAGGTCGATCAGATTGTTCTTTCATCCAATGTATGATAGCATGAGCCTCCATCTATCAACCACTGCAGCCGACTCTCCTCTAAATCTTGTCTGATAATGTTTTCGTGAAACGCATGCGTAGCTTCGGACGAATGCTTTGTTTAAAAATATGCCCACTGGTTAAAATTTCACAATATCCCTTTTTGGTCATCGCTGTTCGTCTCCTACCGTTGCGGAAGGGCTGGAACTTGTCGCGGTGGACGGCTTTTTGCCTACCTTAGTACTGGCGGATGCTCGTGTAGTATCCACAGAGGTTGCTTAATGTATAGAGACTTGACAGTCTTCTAACCATCCAGGTTGGGGGTTAAAACAAGTATGGCATTTCGTTCCTTAGAATTTGAGCCAATCGAGTAGTCTCAAGTCAACCACTGCTGCCTTACGTTCAGTCTTTTGGTTGAGGCCCCTAATCGTCTTCCTATCCAGGCATCGGCACCCTAGCAGTATCTCAGTCAACCATGAACCATAAAAGTACTTTCATATGGCACGGAGGAACCAGTGTGTATTACTAATGTATTACTGTCTATGATGATTCGTCTCCTATCCTCGTGATAAGACACCCTTTCGGTGCCTAGCTACCAGCCAACCGAGATCGTCTTCCTATCCAGGCATCGGCACCCTAGCAGTATCTCAGTCAACCATGAACCATAAAAGTACTTTCATATGGCACGGAGGAACCAGTGTGTATTACTAATGTATTACTGTCTATGATGATTCGTCTCCTATCCTCGTGATAAGACACCCTTTCGGTGCCTAGCTACCATGCCAACCGAGGACTGAGATACTGCCATGTTTCTCAAGCGTAGACAAGCCGGGAGTGTTGTGGTTGGATTCGAACCTCGTGCCTTTGGGCCAGTAAATTCGCACCTTAACCACTGAATCATCTCTGTACAGTTAAACCACCGGATCTTTCAGGTGTAAATTTAACCATACGTCGCCTCTGCAATTCTCTGAGAATCGCATTCTGCGTGTACCTCTTGAATCTCGGCAGAGACTTGGACCCAGAACCTTCCGGAGAGAGGTTTGGTTATCCTGACATTAAACTACGGAGGCCGATTAGCAGTGTGAGTAACTTGCCCTGAAACCGGGCACGACAACTTTCCAAGATGAAATGCGAACCTAGAATTCCAAAATCTTGCTATTCATAGGCAGTTTATCCAGATAAGAGTGCGCTATAAGAAAAAAAGGATACTTGGGCTCCTCTGGGGATGTCGTGATTCACCATGAACCCAACAGGAGGAGTGGCCCTTCTTCCACGTTTCGGATCTTTAAGCCGCCTAAACTCGACATGCGCGAACTCACCTATTATAATCTGACTCTAGTTGTGTGGAAAAAAGCATGGACTTCTGATCAAAAGGTTCTTCGCCGATTTCCTCCCCCTTCAGGTTTGGTCTACACATAGCAATATGTCGGTCCTCCGTGCTTCACGTTGCATAGCGTCTGACAGACATTACAAATGGCTAGATGAAACCTTAAAATGTGAGGCGAGGAGCTATCAACAGTGCGATAGCCGTAATCATTCTGAGGCTGTCTTCTTTTCACTCTGATCACATGGGATCATCCTGCCGATTGGAACTCAAAACGACTGAGTTTAAGACAAACCTGAGGAGTTTGTCATTCCAGCCCACCACTTGTTTTCCACTTCGTATGATCTAAATTTGGACGGGCGGGAGACCATTAAGACTGCTATGTTTTTTTCCTATATACCGTACTGTGCCAGGCTACCAAGATCCCTACCAGTCTCGATTGACCGTCTCCGAGTTGCTGGGTCTCGGAGTCGGTGAGGCTTGCGATCACTTGATGCCATTGTGTGAATTGACTGACTGGGGACTATCCGTCGTATTCCGTCTCTGTCCGAGGCTGGCAAGTCTCACAATCCGCCATGCACCCTACTTGTCCTCGGTTCTCACTTGGCACGACCGGTCGCCGGACAACTGGATCCTGGATGAGCCCGGTGGTGGGGCGAACGCTGCTGATGAGGCTCACTCAAATGGGCCGCTCGCACCCAACCGCGCTCGACCTCATGAAGGTCAAGAGGCCGCTGAAGATACTGCCAGCACTAACCAACCTACGGATGCTGTCGGCGATCCTCAGTATTTACTTCTCAGGTCGCTGACGCTGGAAAATTGCCCAGGAATCTCGATTGAGGTGTGTTACTTTTGCTGTTGCATGAGTATTGGTTTACCCTGGCTTTGTCCACACCTTTTTGTGATGATGTGTGTGATTCCACGCTAGAGATTTGTTACGTTTCCACACGTCTGCTTACTTTCATTATGGTGGGTTTGAGTTGCCGGGTTGAAGTGTGGTGATGACCCTTGTTTGTAAGTTGCGACACCTGTAGTTTTCATTTTACACAGACTGGATAGTGCTGATGGTATTCAGTACTCAGTATTGTCGATCTCCATTCGAATCTCATCAGTTTCAACACACTTCTGAATTGGCACCCAAATTTGGAACCTTTGTGTAGCTCTGCTACTAAAGAGCCCGTAATGAAAAGGTCAACTTCCTCCAAGCGTCAAGACAGATGACCTCTGCCATTGTTTTTGAGACAGCCGTTTTGACTTCACGTACGTCACATCCAACTGCGCATGTCTCTGAGATCAGTTATTCTCTGTATTCATTCTGTCTTCTCATGGAGGGTAATATCGGTTCCTAGCTCTGACCGCACGCACTGACAATGAACTGGTGTGTTCCACATTTTCCAAACGTTCGTTGCAACCAACGTCACTCTGACCCTATGTGGCAATCGGATCTTTTCGTCTAGTCGAGCACCAGACGTTGTCAAAGCTTTTTGAACGTCCGAAAATCTGTTGCCTTAGCGGCAACACGCCGTTAGCCCCACTGTATTGGTTCCTCTCCGTTGTGAACACACGTCTTGAATAGTCAACCCATCTCCACTCCAGCTTTCTGTGAATATTGCAGTTAAAACTGAACCGAATAGCTTGTTTTTTACTAGTAATTTCAATCCAAACGTCCTATGATCGCACCACTACAACGTAGATTGCTGGGTGTTTTTTTTGTCGCACTTGTGACAATAGTGTTTACACTGTATTGGTTCCTCTCCGTTGTGAACACACGTCTTGAATAGTCAACCCATCTCCACTCCAGCTTTCTGTGAATATTGCAGTTAAAACTGAACCGAATAGCTTGTTTTTTACTAGTAATTTCAATCCAAACGTCCTATGATCGCACCACTACAACGTAGATTGCTGGGTGTTTTTTTTGTCGCACTTGTGACAATTGTTAGTGTTTACCAGACGAACAAGAGTGTGGTGTTAAACTTTATGTCAGCGACTCGGTAATCTAACTATTCCCTGTCTAGAGAGCAGTGACTTGTGCACAAGCGGACTACTGCTTCTTGTCATCCGCTCACTCACTCACTCACTCACTCTCACTCACTCACCTCACTCACTCACCCACTCACTCACTCACTCACTCACTCACCCTCCCACT